CCAATGCAAAGTTGAAGTAGCTAATTGCACTGGTGGATATATCTTCGTTTGGTTACCTGACGAATACTGTATTCCAAAACAACTAACGCCAATATAAACACGAAAATAACTGACGAAACAATGAAACATCTTGGAGACAATGAGCTGCATTCTGAAACTGTGAGGTGAGCCTGAGCCAGGAGCATCGATCTCCAGTTGGTCCATGTCCACCGCCGGAGAGAATCCTGAGCACGAGGCGCGTGTACCACAGAAAAGCAGCGAGCTTCCCGTGCTTTACACGAAGAACGCAGCTATCACGTATGCATAATTTGCATATGCGTCCAACGAGCCGCGTCGGCGTCGCTGGCTTGGCCCGGTGCTCGATCGGTCGATGCTTCATGGCTAAGATCGAACATGAGAACGTTCAGAAAGAGCAAAAACGCGTTAGTATCGACTCGTAGCACATGGCAGCCACAACCCTTTTGTATGAAAGAACACTTTGGCGTTCCCACACAAAAATTTTACACCATGTCACATCGAACGTTTGAACACATGCATGAAATATTAAATATAGACTTAAAAAATAACTAATTGCACAGATTGTGACTAATTTGCGAGACAAATCTTTTAAGTCTAATTGCTCTATGATTTGACAATGTGGTGCTGCAGTAAATATTTACTAATAATGGATTAATTAAGCTTAATAAATTCATCTCGTTGTTTACTGACGGATCATGTAATTAGTTTTTTATTAGTGCCTAAACATCACATGCGACACCTTATATAATACCCGATATGACACGCTAAAACTTTACACCCTGGATCTAAAAACACCCCTTTGTGTTAGCTGATGCGCACACAATAGGATGCCTGCCTGCTGCGGCAGAGATTCTCGAAGAATATGTCCTGATTAGTTCTGGTCTACTGGTATGCTGTTTGCAAAAGCTAGGATGGATCTGTGTATAATGCCGGTCATTTCCTTGTCCCAAACTGGACGGAGCTGCAGTGCCAGCAACCGACGCCCGGCCTCACGTGAAAAAGCAGATGTTTTGTGAGTTGTGAGTTTCATTCCTGTCCAAACTCTTGACCTTGCCTGACCCATCTAGCAGCGAGACGCACCAAACTGTGGTTACCAACTTTACTCCACAGTACCTACCATAGACACCACAGAAGCAGAGGCCATCACGCATCACTTTCTTCTATCACATCTAAAGATCAGAGTCTCCCGGAGATCTCTCTATGTCCCTGACCCTCCTGAGACACTCTTTTTACAGGCCAAAAGTTCCGGTACTATTTGAATTTTATCAAATTTGAAAAGCCATTCAAAATACAAATGTGTTATTCAAAAAGGTGTCGGCCCCCCTCAGAATTTTCCCCGAACCTGATTATGACTGTCAGTGCATGAGTTCAAAAAGAGTGTCATGTGAAACCGATCAACTTCTCTGTATATAAACCCTTCAGTCCACGGCCCAAAGCAAAGCACACGTACAGCTACACTTTGTCACTAGCTAAGCTAGCAAGTGCAACTGTGCAAGCCATGGCGTCGATGTGTTCGAGGTCGATACCCCAGCTCATCCTCCTCCTCTCCCTGACCGTCTTCCTCCTCGCCAATGCGCATCCCATGGCCCCGCCATCGCCGCCGCGGAAGGCGGCCGCGCCTCCGACGGCGGCGAAGGGGGTGACCGGCATTTCGCCGGTGCTCGTCTCCACGCTGCGCGAGACGCTGGACGCGATCAAGAACGTCGCGTCCATCATCTCGTCGTTCCCCATCGGCGGCATCCTCGGTGGCGGCGACCTCCGCCTCTCCTCCGCCATCGCCGACTGCCTCGACCTGCTCGACCTGTCCTCCGACGAGCTGTCCTGGTCGATGTCCACCACGTCGTCGTCGTCCTACCAGCCCACCAACGCCGGCGCCGCCACGTCGTCCCACGTCGGCACCGGTGACGCTCGCTCCGACCTCCGGTCGTGGCTGGGCGGCGCGCTGAGCAACCAGGACACCTGCAAGGAGGGCCTCGACGACACCGGCTCCGTGCTCGGCTCGCTCGTCGGCACCGCCCTCCAGACCGTCACGTCGCTCCTCACCGACGGCCTCGGCCAGGTGGCCGCCGGCGAGGCCTCGATCGCGTGGTCGTCGTCCCGCCGCGGCCTCGCCGAGGGCGGCGGCGCCCCGCACTGGCTGGGAGCCCGGGAACGCCGGCTGCTGCAGATGCCGTTGGGCCCCGGTGGCATGCCGGTGGACGCCGTGGTCGCCAAGGACGGGAGCGGCAACTACACGACGGTGAGCGCGGCCGTGGACGCGGCGCCGACGGAGAGCGCGAGCCGGTACGTGATCTACGTGAAAAAGGGCGTGTACAAGGAGACGGTGGACATCAAGAAGAAGAAGTGGAACCTGATGCTGGTCGGCGACGGCATGGGCGTGACCGTCATCTCCGGCCACCGGAACTACGTCGACGGCTACACCACCTTCCGCAGCGCCACAGTCGGTGAGTGCATCCACGCCTCCAAACTAGCTTACACCAACATATCCTGTTCGATCATGAACTAGAAGTTCATTACGTATGCTAATTAGTTAGGTTAATTAAACTTAAACGGTTTGATCGATCGTAATGTCGTCGCGTGCTTATTATAGGAGTATAGATCAACGAGCTCTCAAGTGCATGGGTCAATGCCATGCATGCTAGTTTTAGTAGCTGCATTGCACCTCGCGTTGTACCTGTATGCGTGAGGCTTGGGCAAGCTAAGACTCATGCCTAGGATTAGCTCATCATCAGAACCACGATGAGACGGTCGTGTCACTGGGAGTACTTACGTAAGATGGTCAATATACCATCATTGGAACTGTGCTCCGTGGGGCCGTGACAACGTAGGGTCCAGTCCGTATCTTGCTCTGCTGGGCGAGATACATAGGAGTACACCGTACCCAAAACCCCAAGGGCAGCAGAGCACATGGCATTAAACATGGACAAGCTAGCAACGTGCCAACATGTTTCATGTTTGGATGTACTACCAGACTTGCTATGGTAGACGGAACTCGGAAGCCTCCGAGAAGTAGTAGTAGAACTGAAGAAGGGTGTACTGTTCCTTTCATCTTAGCCGCGTAAGTACATTCAAGTCCGACCGGTTTACCACCTTCCCAGCCTTAAATACACACATGCTGCATTAACGCAACTCCCCAGTGGTTGCCGTGCACCAGCAACGAATTCAATGAACTAGCTGAGCTGAGCCAGCGGCGATCTGCCTGGGCCGCCGGGCCGGCTATCCCAAACTACAAAGTCCTCCTTGTTTTTACTACTACATGTCAATGCCACTTGCCACATGCTGCGGTGCATTTTTCATCTGGTCCGGTCCACAAAATTCGTGCATGTGGTGCACCGTGCACGGTGTGGGATTTCGTTTAATAGTTTCCCTTTGCAACGACGACCCTATAGTGGATTAGTGGTACAGTGATGTTGGTGCTGGTGCCGCCAGGACTGACAACTGACAAGTGACAGGAGTACTATCAAGCCAAATGCATCCATTAGTACTGTAGCTATGAGAGTAATAAAGGTAGGAGTGGACATAGATCACCGACACAGATGATCTTCGGCTCTGGTCTCAAAGCTGCTGCGTAGTACTCCGTATGCTGCTAATCTTTTTTACTTCGTCTCGTCATATCCGGGTGCCATATATGAAACCGCGTTGTTTCGCTGCTTGTCAGCAACTTGTGTGCCAAAACAATGATCCAACTCGTGGTTCCATCAGCCACCTGCACCCTCATTTACGAGGTTGTTAACAAAGTCTTGTAGTTTCAACTAAAGTAGCGGTATGATCTGCGGGCCCTTGTGTTTTCCTAAACAAGTCACGAGACCTCACCTCCCTGTCTCACACTCTCCTGCACGGCATGTACTCAAGCAACAGTTGCAGATCACATGCATGAAGTCATCAATCCCTCTGACCATTCACTCGATTCAATCATTTGATTGCATTTTTAACAGCAGTAATTAATGATGTCAGACTGTTAATTACTAGTAGTGCCTGACATTGCATGATTGCATCCACCTCCTCTGCAGCTGTGAACGGGAAGGGGTTCATGGCGCGGGACGTGACGTTCGAGAACACGGCGGGGCCGTCGAAGCACCAGGCGGTGGCGCTCCGGTGCGACTCCGACCTCTCCGTCTTCTACCGCTGCGGGTTCGAGGGCTACCAGGACACGCTGTACGCGCACTCGCTCCGCCAGTTCTACCGCGACTGCCGCGTCTCCGGCACCGTCGACTTCGTCTTCGGCAACGCCGCCGCCGTGTTCCAGAACTGCACCCTCGCCGCGCGCCTCCCGCTCCCCGACCAGAAGAACTCCGTCACCGCGCAGGGCCGCCTCGACGGCAACATGACCACCGGCTTCGCCTTCCAGTTCTGCAACGTCACCGCCGACGACGACCTCCAGCGCGCGCTCGCCGGCGGCGGCAACCAGAGCTCCGCCGCGGCGGTGACGCAGACGTACCTCGGCCGGCCGTGGAAGCAGTACTCCAGGGTGGTGTTCATGCAGTCGTACATCGGCGCCGTGGTGCGCCCCGAGGGGTGGCTGGCGTGGGACGGACAGTTCGCGCTCGACACGCTCTACTACGGCGAGTACATGAACACCGGGCCCGGCGCCGGCGTCGGCGGCAGGGTCAAGTGGCCGGGGTTCCACGTCATGACGAGCCCCGCCCAGGCCGGCAACTTCACCGTCGCTCAGTTCATCGAGGGCAACATGTGGCTGCCGCCAACCGGCGTCAAGTACACCGCCGGCCTCACGTCTTGATCACCAATTCACCATCGAGTACGTGCTTCTTGTGTGCGACAGTAGTACAGCACATGATCATACTACACTTTACACTACGTTGGAGGGAGGTTTAATTAAGGATCTGGTGTATAAAATCTTTAGGAATTATGGCATTCTGGGAGCTATTTAGCTGTTTAATTGGTGGTTAATGGAACAAGTTTGCCTTTTGTTTTTGTTCCATGCTTCTCTGGTGGTGGTGCTCTGTTTTTGGCACAACGAATGGTTGAAATGTGCATGCACGGCGCACAAGTAAAAATCACACAGAATGTACATGAAACAGGCAGGTATCAGATATTCACATTGGACCGTCTCCTCTCGAAAGCATATGTACATGGCGCACGCATGCAGGTGCCCGGGTGTCTGCACAAATATTTTTCACGCCCACATGCCGTACTTCACCGGCGTGCCGGTCGGCTTGATCCATGGCTCGGCGTGCAAGAAGTTCTGCACGGTGAACTTGGTGGCCTCCTTCTTGCTGATCACCTTCTTGTACCCCGGCCAGCTGACGCGGCCGGCGGTGGCGGCGCCGGCGCCCTTGTTCCCGTACTCCGCGTACCAGAGCGTCTTGAGCCCGAAGTCGCCGCTCCACGGGAGGTAGCCGGCCTTGTCTACGAAGGCGGGGATGTCGGAGTTCATGATGAGCGTGCGCGAGTACTCGCGCCACGGGCGTGCGAGGTAGCTGCGGACGGCGGGGCGGGAGGCGTCGCCGAGCGCCGACTCGGCGGCGAAGCGGTAGTGCTGGAGCACGAAGCCGGTGGCCTCGCGGCGGTCGGCGCGGCCCTGCGCCGTGGCGATGTTCTGCTGGTTGTCGAGCGGGCGGCGGAGCACGATGACGCAGTTCTGGAACACCGCCGCGGCGTCGCCGAAGATGAAGTCGACGGTGCCGGAGATGACGCAGTTGCGGTAGAACTGCGCCTTGGAGTGCGCGTAGAGCGTGTCCTGGTGCCCCTCCATGCGGCAGTTGAGGAAGATGGACTTGTCCGACTGCACCAGCAGCGCCACCGCCTGGTGCTTCGCCGCGCGGGCCGTGTTCCGGAAACCCAGCGCGACGCCCATGAACCCGTCGCCCTGCGCGTCTACGTACATGCACGCGTCAGCCTGTGCAGGCCATGTAAATCGATGGAGAAGCTAGCGTGCAATGCGTGTTCTGGCTCTTACTGAAGGTCGCCGTCTTGTAGGTGGTGAGGCCGTCGACGAAGTTCCGGTTGCCGGTGATGATGGTCTTCTTGGCGCCGTCGCCGTACATGGTCACGTTCGCCATCTTCTTGGTGATCGTCACGTACTCCTCGTACACCCCTTCCTTCACGTAGATCACGTACCTGAAGAACACGATTCATGCCCAAAGCTTTGGTTAGTAGTACTAGAATTGATGAGAGATGTTGAACATTCAGGTCGATCGTGCAGGCGCATTCACCTTCCGGTGTACTTCTTGGGCATGGCGGCGAGCGCGTCGTTGATGGTCTTGAACTTGCCGCTGCCGTCCTTGGCCACGACGACGTTGGGCTTGAGCTTGTTCTGGAACTTGGCCTTGAGCAGCCTCCTCTCCTGCCGGTTCACCCAGACCAGGACGTCGTCGTCGTTCCCTTTGGGCTGCTTTGGGGCGTTCTCGTCGAAGGCGAAGCTGAGAAGTCGCCGGAGGCTGTTCCCGGACGAACGGTTCACTTCGGGCTGCTTCGTGGCGTCCTCATCGAAGGCGAAGCTGAGAAGCCGCCGGAGGCTGTTCCCGGACGAACGGTTCACTTCGGGCTGCTTTGTGACGTCCTCATCGAAGGCGAAGCTGAGAAGCCGCCGGTGGCTGGCCGCCGAAGACGCTGGGAGGTGGAGCGCGGCGAGGAACGAGGACGCCTTCCCGATGAGGGCCAGCGCGTTGCTCGTCAGCTCCTTGCCGGACTCCATGGCGTCCCTCATCTTGTCCTTGAGGTCGCCGTCGGGGAAGCCGTCGATGCACGTCTCCTGGTGCGCGATCACCGCGCTCAGCCACACGCGGAGCTGGTACCCGCCCTTGGTGAGCCCGTCCACGCCGCCGGCGTCGATGCCTGCGAGAGTGCGGTCGAGGTCGTCCTTCGCGTTCTCGTAGATCTCCTTGCAATCCGCGACGGCGGCCTTGACCCGCGGGTCGTCGCTGACGATCACGCTCGACTTGTCGAACGCCTTCTCGATGGCGTCGCCGATCACGGCCACGGAGGCGCGCACGACGTCCTTGGGCGACGACGACGACGACGACGCGCTGGCGTTCGCGGCGGCCTTGGCGAGGCTCTTCTCGCAGGTGTCCTTGTAGTCCGTCTGCGCGCACATCGCCTTGATGATCTTGGACACGCCGTGCAGGCTGGGCTGCGCGCCGCCACCTGACGCTGAACCGGAGGAGGAAGAGGAGCCACCATCACCGAAGCTCGCGTTGTAGGCGACGGCCGCGCCGCCCATGACGATGATGATAAGAATGACCGACGCGGCGCCGGCTGCAACCATGACGCGCCTGCGCTCTTGCCTCTGCCTCTCGACATGGCGGCGCTCAGTGATCGGATCGAAGTCCGAGAAGGTCGTTGACATGGCCGACGACCTTCTCGCCCTGCCTGAAGAATGTTTTCGGCGTCGCCGCCGCCGCTCTCTCCCTCCCTCTGCCCTTACCACGATCGGCAAAGGCAGAGAGAGAGGATCGAGCGAGAGCGAGAGAGTGAGGGGGGAGAAGAGCTTGTTTATTCAGAGGATTCAAGGGTGGAGAGAGATTTTAGGGAGTCAGGTTAAATTTGGGAGCTGGTTCGTTCTCGTTTCCTTGTCATGCAAAGGCAGCAACGCCCGCGCGGGAGCTCCTGACGCGGCTGCCGATTTCTCGCTTCATTCCCAGCAAAAACAACGTGACTACACGGGTGTGTTTGCAAGAGCAAGTTCCCAACACTCCCCACGCGTACGTTTTTCAAACTGCTAAATGGTACGTTTTTTACAAAAAGTTTCTATATAAAAGTTGTTTTAAAAAAAATCATATTGATCCATTTTTAAATAAAAACTAACACTTAATTAATCATACGCTAATGGATTGCTCCGTTTTCCGTGCATAGGAGATGGGTTCCCAGCACCCACCTCCGAACACAGCCGTACGTGAGCACTGAGCAGTTTGATTCCGGCGAAGTAGACCGTTTCAAGTTGTAATGGGCCGTTGAGCCCGTGGTGTGTGTCAACTTTGTTTCCTCGTTGGGCCTGGTGGTTCGTTTACGGCTTATCTGTTGTTGCCTTGTTGGAGACGAGATGTGTTGGCGTGTGCGCTTTCTCTCCCACCTTTCGGCTTTTCACGGATTCCAGGCCTTTCGTTGAGGAGGACATTGTAGATTTGTAGACTGTAGTCTTCCTTTTTTTTGTTCAACCACGTTGAACAAGCATGGTTTGTATCGGTATAAAGTGGCAAACACGCGTACTTGAGCCAAGAAAAACATGCAATTAGACCTTTTCCGGTGGCACAAGCACAGTGACAAAAACCCAAGTGGCAACCAAGATTTACAATTCCGAGATGGCCTTCCGTTTTAGGTTCTGACAGAATGATGGTTTTCGTGAAATCCGGTGAAAAGCCGATAGATTCCGAACAAATTTCATAAACAAAAATTTGAATACAAATTCCCTGAGTTTACCGATAAGCTTGCGAAAACATGTCGGCTTTGGCAAAATTCCGAGCGAAATCATCGAAATTTCAATCCGTAACTAGAAAAAGAGGTAAACTAAGGGTGTGTTTGAGGAGAAGGGGATTGAGGAGATTGAGAAGATACGCAAAACGAGGGGAGCCATTAGCTCATGATTAATTGAGTATTAACTATTTTAAATTTCAAAAATGGACTAATATGATTTTTTAAAACAACTTTCCTATATAAATCTTTTACAAAAAATGCATCGTTTAGTAGTTTGGGAAGCGTGCGCGCGGATAACGAAACAAACTCACTCACTATCTCACCCTCTCAAACGCAGCCTAAAATTGTTTTCCTTTTTTTAATTCGCTATTCTTTTCTTTCTTACTGTAAATTTTAGTAAATACATGGAATACATCGTTTTTTTGAAAATTTATATCCCAATAGGTTCTATGAATATCATAATATTTATAAGATTTTATTTGATTTTTTGCTTTTTTCTTAATTCAAATTTAAATTTGGATGAAACTCATCGAAATCTCATACGGTTTCTACTTTCGAGCCTCATCAAAACCTCGAAATTTCGTGGAATTTGACCGGTTTTTGTCGGAATTTTGTATACCCTGGTGGCAACAGTGCCATTGACAGAGAATTATACTCCTCTCTGTGTTGATTTACGTAATTTTAAGGAGTCAGGTTGATTAAAGTTAGTCAAACTATGGTTATATACTAAAGACTACTTTATACAGCTATAAATATTGGATTTTAAGATTTAATTAAACTTTTAATACTTTAAATATTAATTTAATATTAAAACAAATTTATAATCTAACAAGTTTTTATATCACGATGGTCCTTGAATTAAGTATAAACATGTATTTCAGCACATACACATAGACTCCTTTCAGTAGAGTATATCTCTATTAATTGCTCTAATGTAATCCAACATAGTCGTTATCGGCACATCGAGTATTAATTTCTCGAGTTAAAATTCCACATCCATAATTTCCCGTCACGCTACAACACAAATACTTTCCACGCTGAGTCAAATAAATACCATATTATATAAATGTTACAAGTCATATAAAAAAAGAAAATTGATATGCATACGATCTAACTGTCCGACTCACATACGATTGAATTTAATCAACACATATAAAAGGATGTAGTCCATGTAAACATGCTCTCATTGGATTGATTTATGGTTGGATGTTTCTTGTACATGAGCGTATAGCAGTACTTATAAAAAAAAACCAGCACGTATAACTATAAGCTGTAGCCTTGGACGTACTCTCTCTACATGGTACGCGCATATCTTTGGACATTTCCTGTCAAGTTCCTATCGTCCAGATGATCGATGTTCCAATGATATATGCAGTAGCAATCAGCCAAAATATAAGTGTAGTACTGTAGTGTACCAAACTAATTTCTTCCGTTCCTTTTTAGGGATAATGCAGAGGAATCATTTCATTTTCGTGTAGCGACCAACTGACGACCGTCGACATGATTCCTGATTTCTGCCTATCATACTTCAATCAGAATGATTTGGTTTTACTCCACCGATTCGATGTGACATATTTTTATGTTTTCTAGTATTTCCTCCATTTCAAAATAAATTATTTTTGAAGTTAAAATTTTGTTCTATAAATATAATAAGTTAATTTACATCATTTTACCTACTTAGGATCTATAAATCAAGAAGTATATCATTCAAAACTCTTTACGTACCTACCCAACAATACTATTTTTTTAATAAGCGACACTTTGGTTATTTTCTCTCCCTACTAAAATTGCCTTAGAATACAACATATGCTTTTATTTTTGGATAGCAGGAGTAGTGCAACGTACAAGAGGATTTTTCCTACAATAGAAGTAGAGGATTTTTATTGTAAATCTAAAAATTTACAATAGAGCAAACTCGGTCTCGGTCCTTGGTCTTTCAGTAAATTCTAATAATCTAAAACTGGAATTGCAATATCCGAATAATTTGAGTCTCGGTCATGACCAAAATTTCATAAAGATCCCAAAATTAACATACAAATCACCAAGAAACTTTAGCGGATCTAAAAAAAATCATATCCACTATTTGATCGTTCGCTGCCATCGGCCACCGCCAGCGTGGAGGCGGCATCGCAAATTCATCGTCGCTACCACCGTTGGAGTGGAGGATGCACCATGACGACGGTGCAGCAGGACGGTGGAGCGGGCTCAACGGCCAGGACCTCTAGCGGTGCGGCTATCAGCGTAAACGGTCAGCATGATGCGATATTTGTGGTGATTGCGAGAATCGCATGGGTATGGGTATGTGTGTGGTGATTGGGTGCACGGGGTCTGACTGGGAGTAGTAGTAGGATTTGTTGCCCTATTGGGTTATTTTCGGTATATTCAATCAGTTCAGTTAACCGATAATGATTATCGGCACGGCACTCACCTCATCTGCATGAGCAGAGGGTAAGATGCAGGAAGGAGAAAGAAAATGATTGAAAAAACGGTCTCAGTCTCCTGACCTTTAGTTTTGGTCTTTCGGATTCGGTCAATTTTACCTGGCAAAAGAAGCGAGAGAGTTATAAGAGTTTGTCCTATGATGAGTAAGCCAGTAGGTGAATGATCTACAAGACTCGGGGCTTGTTCACTTTGCTACTATTTTCAACCTTACCAAGTTTTGGTGTTGTTAAATTTTAGAAGAGTTACCAAAATTTTAGCAAAATTGCCAAATTTTGGCAAGATTTCGTATGTACTTAATAAAATTTAACAACAAACTAACATAGCCAAAATTTTAGCAACTTTACCAAAAATAATAGTATGGTTAAAAATTACATCAAAGTGAACAGGCCCTAGTCGGTCTTAAAAAAACAACACAGCCAGATGGCTCCATGCAAACCAGTGATTACAAAATACTACTACTCCTAAACACTGTTTAGATCTGTCACTTGGGCACTTGGCACACATGTGCAGACAGCAGACTTGCAAAGCTTGACCTGATCAACCTATTTTAACTTTTCCTTGTGGAAAAACTAGCTCCATTAATTAACCTATTCATTTTTCCCTCTCGTTTCGTGTCGAGTCGCCGTCTTGTTCCCATCACGCTATACGCGCCCAAACCGTCCGTTCTCCCGGCCATCTCGACAGCGACCCCGCGAGTCCGCGACACCCTCGCGGCCTCGCCTCGTCGGACCCCTGGGCGTACGAATCGCGCGCGTGATCTCACCCCGAATCCACCGGTCCAAGGCTCCCCGTCCAATCTCCGGCCTCCGGGTCACCGGGTGGCGGCCGGCGGGTGGTAGCTGCGGGTCGGCTCAGCTCGCTGCTCGCCTCAAGGCCCTCGCCTACAGCACGGGCCACGGCACGACACGACAGGACGGCTACTCGTACTTGCTTCAGCCCGGGTGGACCACATGTCGCGCCCGGCGCCCGCGCCGTCCGTCGCTCTCCGCCCGTTCGCGTCTCTGTCTGTCCCTGGCCTCCCACACGCTTCGTCGACGCTTCGTCTCGGCGATTCGCGGCTTCGTGCGCTACGGGAGAAAACGGCAAAGCCGTTGCCGCCGAAACAGGACACATGCAGCTACAGAGCTACTGTTGCTGCTGCTGCTGTGCTGGTGGTGGCACAGCGCGGCGTATCGTGCTGGTGTATTCTATTGCTATCATCACAACGGCTGTGAGTACAAATTTCGCGGCGATCGAGAAGGTTCCACGGTTGATGGTGTGACATGTGCGCGTATGCATGTGTGGGTTAGTGCCACATGGGGAGGGAGGGTGACGAGAGCGAGACAGGAATACTCTTGTGGTGTTTTTTTTTTCTCTGTTCTTTTCTCAAAAGAAGAGTTTGGATGAAGATTAAGATTTTTATGCCATGCTTTTTAAACTGCTAAACGGTACGTTTCGTGTGAAAAATTTCTATATAAAAGTTGCTCTAAAATATCATATTAATCTATTTTTTAAGTTTATATCAATCATACGTTAACACCACCTCGTTTTGCGTAAAAAAACTTAATCTTCATTTTTATCCCCATCCCAAAGATAAAGATGAAGATTAAATTTTTCACAGAAAATAAGATGGTATTAACGTATGATTGATTGAGTTTTAATTATTACAAACTTGAAAA